CCGCATAAACAAAAATATTTTTAAAGTGTAGATTATGGTAGTTTATCCCGGTTGCCAAATTTTCAAAATGATCCGCTTTTTAGTTCTCCATAAATGTCTAATACACCATCCACCGTGGGACACCCTGTATAAGTACCTACATATACAGAAAAAATACATAAAATATTATCATTAAATATTATTTATTATTAAATAAATATGGTGAAAATAATATTATTCAATAAATAAGTATTAATACTAATACATATCAACGTTGGACTTATATTATTAATTTTCACCGTTTGTTATTAGTTTTCATAAAAAAAATGTATTAAAAATTTAAAGGGCCAAGCGATGCGTTAGCTGAAGCACACTCGAAAATACGGCAACGCTGGTTGCTTTTGCCTTAACATTGATACGGTGACGACACTGGCGCCGACAACATGGGGGCATTGGGGCAGATGCACCCATGAGCAACCTCTCATGGGTGCGGAGCACCCATGGGAGATCTTGTAGGGATTGCGGAAGTACAAAGGTGTCTATTGGTCCTTCCGTTCCGTGTGGTAGCATCAGTATCATGTAATTTAAATTTACACAAATTTGTATAAGAATGATACAATGGGCACATTCAAGCGGTCCCAGCGGCTAAGCTCAGCCACTCAGCAGGGAATTTATTCTCGAAACCAAGAAACAGCGTTCTCATAAGAACGATCGCTCTGTCATTGTTAGTGTTATGCCGGACGACAAAGACAGAACCTTCGTTCCATTGAGAACGCTGCTCCCCTGTTCCGAGAATAAAGTTCCTGCTGATAGGCTGAACTAATCCGCTGACACCGCCTGAATGTACCCAATGGCCGAGTTCGTTTTTGTTATCTTTTTCGTCGATTTGCTCTGAAATTTTGATAGGCACGTGATTTGTAAATTGAAATTATCTTATTCAGTCACGTGCCTGACAAAATTTCGGACCAAATCAACGAAAAAGATGACAAAATCGAACTCGGCCTATACAAGTGGTATTAGTATTCTGTCCTTTCTTTATGTGGTCAGTTCTATGCTCTATTACATAGACATTATAGGCAATTTCAAGCATACTCGATTAGGCTCAGATGTTATGTATCAATTTTGTAATACTCTCCTAACTCCACCACTATCAAATTCTGGAATACTCCAGGATCAAGAACACTTAACTTCTTCTGTGAGAACAGACTGGAAATCATCTTTTCTACATTTGAAGTCGATGAAAAAATTAACTCACTAGCACAGCCTGAATGGCAAGCATTCCATCGAGGTCTGCAGGTGACATCGTCACTATGAGATGCTGATAGTGACGTCACTCGCAGGCCCAGAATTGGTTGGGAAGGGACTGGGGGCAGTTAGGGGAGTATGACACAATTAGGCAATCCAAACCACGTGACTTTATTTGACGGACTGTTGGCACGCAAAAGATTTTCTTGGTTTGACATTATCCTTGCGTTCGGTATTTTGCTCAAAGAGCAGAGCGTGCTGAGCGGAGCCGTAATCACGTGACCATCGAGCGAACAAACCAGTTGAACGCAGTATCCGAGTGCCCGAAATTTTAATAAACGACCGCAAATGAGCCTGTTCCGAGTACACTTTTTGAATGAACGGTAAATTCAAGCTCGGAGAACTCTGATCAAAATACCGAATGCTGCTTATTGCTTAATTTTGTGAGTTTTGAGACCTAAAAAAAAGCACACTCACAATAATTTACAAATATTTTGAAAGGAAATTTGTAAAAAGCTGGAATTAATTATTTTAAAATTCCCAACGTCAAAGGTAAACGCAAGGGACGATGACTGATGGCACAAGAAATTTAGGGTTATGGGCATATATTGTGTGTGCCAGCCAACCTTAGACAAGGAAAGAGAGAGGACGCGTAACATCCTTTACCTGCACTAACAGCTGGTTGTGACCGATTGCCACCAAATAATGGCGACAATTTTTCATGGTGTCACTATGTGAATTTTACTTCAGAATAACATTTTTGTGGTATTCAGCATGGTGGATTGCTAGCATATGGCTGCAAAACCCGCAGAGAAAAAAAAGTCGACGGGATTACATTTAACAGGCAAAAAACAATATGCTTTCTAGGTTATGTTATGAAAAAAGCAGACATTTTTTGGTGGCAAACTGCTTCATTTTCACCTGCTGTGATACGAGTCCCCTCTCTTTCCTTGTCTAAGCAGCCAACAGTCGGCCATATTTGACACATCGTTGGATTGCCCAATTCACACATAACATCTGAGCATAATCAGATTATGTTTGATTATCCTCGCGAAAAATTACCTTTTATGTTGCTGCTATTCTCCATCTCTATTCTTTGGTAATAATCGGAACAGTCCCGGGCACAACGGAAAGTGCGGCGCTTGCGCCGTATGCCAAATAATTTAGTTTTGCGGGTGGGTAGCGATGGCAATGATATATCGATGTTTTGTAAATATTGAAATAATACTCAATTATATCGATATATTTTAATCGATATTTTACATTCGATATATCGAAAAAAATATCGGTATAATCTTTTCGATACATCGCGGATCTTTTATAATATAAGTGTTTCGCCGTGCGTATAGTTTATTGGTTAACAGTGACAGGCTGACAGTTGACAGAGGCGGCTAAAATAAAACAAAACGTCACCTAGAGCGTGTGCGCAGTGCGTAGCAATTAAATGAGGAAAAGTACGTTTTTCGCACGCGTATTCTAGGACATGAAAGAACCAGGAGAGTCAACATTGCATAATTATTTCACTTTTCTGCGAAAAGTGATATTTTCATCTTCATCAGCATCTTTTTACCGTCTTGTTTAATAATAGTTATTTATTATACAAGACGGTAAAAAGATGCTTTACCTGTGAGTGGAAAATGTTGATTCACGAGCGACGAAGGAGCGAGTGGATTAATTCCACGAACAGGTAAAGCTTTTTTACCATCGTGTGTAATATTCTATTTTATTCTTGAGCCACTTTCTATTTATCACAATTACTAAAATCATAAACTAAAATGTGCTAAATTATGACAAATTGACAAAGTACCTAACAAACTGACACATTTCTGGTGTTGTCAATCATGCAACATATCAGATTTCTGTCAAAAACACTATAATTATTATAAAAGAAGAGAACGAGTGGGTAAAATTGACGTATGAGTGGGTAAAATTGACAAATAATGAGTTGGTAAAAATTGTACGATTTCATTACTTCAAATAAAGTGTTACTTTAACAACGAGTTTTGAGTCGATTAAATGATAGTTTACCATTCGCGATAGAATAAATAACTATTAATTAAGCTTCTGTTTTGTTTATTTTCGTTTACACGCATACCAATTTCAAATTAAGTAAAAATATCTTGAAAAATATAGATTCATCTGTCATATTATTGCATGAAAATATGAAAACTAGATTACCTACATGTTGTGTAAAATATTATTCCATTTCCAATATAATTCATGATATATGAGCTGAGTGTTGGAAATAGCATTAGGTATATTGCTAAAACATGAATTTTGCAAGGATTTCTAACTAATGGGAACTCAGGCGTATATGATTAAAGATAATTTATTCAGGTGTAGAGTTTCACTAGACAAAGATCCTATTTACAGAAATGTAACAGGATATTTTTTCCTTGTCCCAAGATGCGAAACAAAATTTGATCGACCACAAAACTAAGACGTCGTTGTCATCAACTATTTAGCAAGACAAGCGGAAGTATCTAGGTTAAAAGCTTTGAATTTTTTAAAAAAGGCAAAATAAAAAGCCAGCCAAGATAATTTTATTTGTCGGTCTTGTTTTCAAATTTTAAAATTTTCCAACACCGATAAAAGTTTTGTGTGTTGTTTGGGAAAACGAATTTTTCTCCAACAAAATAAACATTCATATAGATGTCTGTTTCTGAAATGCAATTATAATACAGCTTTTGTTTTGCGTTAACTGGAAATCTTTATTAAAAATAGTTTTTTAAAAGTGCCGAGATAGTAAAAACGAGCTGCTGCTTAAGAATAGCACGTACCCGCTTTACGGGCTCTATAGATAGAGAAATTAAAGTTAGTGAGATATTTTTATGATAAAATATGCCAAGGAAAATGGAGTGGAATTTACTATTTAATAATAGTAAAAAATGCCTCCCTGCTGTCTTTTAATTTTCCTTAAAAAACGTGTCAGAAAACAGATTATATTACTCGACGAACTGGAAAATTACTTTTTTACAATATTTGAATATTAATATTGTAATAGCAATTTCCAATATTTAATGGATAATGGCTTTCTAATCACATACACCGTTCCTTTGAAGCAATATTTTTCCTTTACGGTCTCTATCAACTGCTTAAGGGCTTATTCTCTATCGGCTTTCTACACAATTCCGCTGCAAATGGTAAGGCATTTAGTGTAGATATCAGTTAGTTTAGGGGAAGGTTCATATGAAGTGTTATTTATGTCTAATGTAAATGTTTGGGGGAAAAAAAAATTCTTTTCAACCTTTAGCAAATATTTTCACAAGCAGTAGGCTATTTTTCAAAAATTAATTATGGTAAAAGCCTTAGGGAAATTGCCTCCAATTCACTCTTACACGTTTGCTCATCTAATTTAAAATGATTAAGAGGTTAAGCAATGAATTATGAAGTGGAAAACATATATTAAAAAAAACTTTGAGTTTTCTCCATGAACAGGATAAACTGTTAGTTGTCCCTAATAAGTAATAATAAACTAAAATTCATTGTACTATTTCTCCATTGCAATCGAAAAGTTTTCCGAACTAATTTTCATAAATTTGCAAAACTTGTCACCGCGAAGAGAATAAAAGGCCGCTTAAATTCTAATTTTATTCGCGTATCTCAACCGTAAAGGGTTTTATTTGAGTTAAAATTTTCTTTAACAATAATAATTGGAAATTCTCATTAATTTGCCTTCATTTGCCAAAAGCCAACAATTAAATTAATTCGATTATACAAACAATAGTTGAATGGGTATTATTTGAATAGTGTAATTGTTTGAATTTTCTTTTCAGATACATATTCTCGTTAGCTTTGGCCGACCTTTTAGTAATAATCACCAGCGTACCGTTTACATCGATAATCTACACAGTGGAATCATGGCCTTGGGGTTCTTTGATTTGTAAAATATCGGAAACGGCCAAAGACGTTTCCATCGGCGTGTCCGTTTTCACCCTAACCGCTTTGTCCGCAGACCGATTTTTTGCCATCGTCGATCCTTTGAAGAAGTTTCATACGAGCAGTAAGTAGCAATTTTAATAAATTCTGTAATTAATTGATTCACCAAAGTAGAACAAAACTAGGACAATGAACAATATAATTTTATTTATCTTTGCTGGGATTTAAATTACTTTTCTTATAGTTGGAACATTTAAAGTTTTATTATAGCAGTAGGGTAGTTCCATGTAATAAATCATTGGAGTATTGTTTACGCAAATACACCAGTCTTTGTTTATCGTTTACTACGTAGAAGGTCGAAGGTTTTAAATAGTAATTTACGTCAATTTGGTTGCTTACCAGACTCAATTTTAGTTTACATATTAATTAATAGACAAATATGTTTTTCACTTTCGCTGAGTTTCTATAAACTTCAATTATTTCAAAAGGTCCTGAAGTATAACATACCCGGGTTCGTTCAGTAAGTTTAAACGATGAGAATTTTTATTATCTTTAAACAACAAATCCTTTGAAAAACGAAATGAAAAACAAGTAGGACCTACGTTGTCGAAACTTACTCAATTTTACTTACTAAACAGGCATCCGACATAGCAAATATTTGGGAAATTTAAGGGAAGTTGTGATATGTAAAAGAAACGAAAAGTTTGTGAAACGTCTACTTATTAAAGTAAATCCTACCGTTCTCATCCTGGAACTAATGAGGGGAAAGAGCACGACAGAGAAACCCTCGATCTAACATTCCTTAAAAATCGAAACATACTGTGTCATTTTAATAATAATTGTGAGTCATTAATTCAATAATTTAAGTCAATAAAAGTTTAAATTAGGTACCGTCTTTTGTCTTTGTGCTAAAATTTTAATTACACAAACTACGTTCAATCGACACTACCTATATTCAATACTGAAGAGTTTTTGGTTAGTTAGCCAGTTTCGAATCAGGTACTGAGGTCCCATACGGGAAGCTACTCAGCTATAGTTGTTTTTGAGCCAATATCTCTAGATTGATTATTTCAATTTGCTAGGATATTCTCTCGTCAGGGTAGGAAAATGTTAGTAAATTCAACAAGGCTCTAATGCACACTCTAAATCCAAAAACCAGGGACCAGCCCAGCTTGTTCTCTAGTCTCATGCCTCATCGGTTCTTCTCTACCTACAGTTCGGTTCGGTACTTTCGTTCTCCCCTAAACCTAAACTTCGTGGCGCAGTACATGGTTGCAATATTTACTTTTATGCAGTAAACGTTTTTTTAAAAATTTAAGATTTTAAGAAATAATATTTTAAATAGGTGGTTTTCCTTAGTTCGTTAAAAAGATTTTGAGCTTTGTCTTTTATTTGAGTTTCTTTAACATGCACCTTGTCACCTGCTTTATATTCTGAAAGATTTCATGAGACCGTCTTGTCCAACCTCACTTTCGACTTTTCTTTCTGGATATCGGTTCTGACTCGAGCCATTCTATAATAACATTCCATTCTGTTGTTGAGGTCTCGTATGTATTTGGAGATTAGCTGTCGCAGAGTCTCAGGGGGTCTATTCGACGTATGGTCAGGGATTAATTCGAAAGGTGTGAATCCGTGTGTCTTATTTTTGGTATTATTATAACATATAACTACCTTCGGGAAAATGTTGAATGGGTGTTCATCTAGATGTTCCGTTTTATGAACGCGGATCATCTCCATTAAAGTTGCATGGAATCTTTCCAGTGATCCATTGGATTGTGGGTGGCTTACGCTTGAAAATGTCAATTTTATGTCGTAGAGTTGACAGAGGACTTTGAGCGAGGCATTGTTGAATTCACCTTCACAATCACAGTGAATTTTTAGAGGTGTACCGTAATATTGTAAGAATACTAGTAAGGTGTTAACAATTGTGGACGCGTTTTTGTATGAGATTGGGTAGGCTTGTGTGAATTTGGTAAGTTCATCCCTAACTGTTAGGGCGTAGTTACGAACTGGGAATTCAAAAAGGTCAATGTTTATCCTCTCAAATTTTTCCTACAGAATTTGACTTTTTGACAGATTTCACAGGCTCTGATGAATTTCTCAACATCTTTGGTTAAATTTTGCCAGGATTATTTGTCCCCAATCCTTCGAACGGTTTCATTGATTCCACGATGTAAATTTGTTTTTCCAGTATGATATTGGTCTAGGATAATAGGGATTTGGTCTTGATCTGGGGTTTTGACGATATTTTGACATATCTTAAACTTAATGTCTTTTTCGGCAAATATGTAATTCCAGATTGTTTTCTATGCAAAAGGTTTTTTCAGGGTCAAATTCGTTTTGACACTTGAAAAGTGAAAAAAGAGATCTATTTTCTCATTTTTGCAAGGAAGTATTTCCGTGCCTTCGCAAATTTGCTGGATAAAATGTTAAGTTGATTGGGTTGAAAATCGAAATTTTCCTCGAATAGATCATCTATAATTTTGTAATTTAAGTCTGTTAGTTTGGTTTGCCAAAAGAATGTTAAAATATTTTTGTGAGACTCGTCCAGAAGTTATAGGTTGGAAATCTCTATCTTTGAGATGTCAATAATTGATCTGGTTTTGTAGAGATTTACGAAGGAGTTGTATTCTTCCTCAATTAAGGTTGTTTCATCATTGTTTTTAATTTCGACGATTGGAATTTCTTATTGTTGTTGACTTGTAGAGTGGCCGTTTCTTATATCGTCAATATCAGGTTCTTCTTTGTTAGAAGCCAGTATGTGAATTTTGGAGCTTAAATCTTAACAATCTTTAAAGTAGTTTACTTTTATTCGAGTTATAGTCGCATTCTTCGAATTTCAAGCGCCAGCGAGCTAAACGACTTCCAGAGGGTCTTTAATTGAGAAAAGCCAAGTTAAAGGACGATGGTCTGTGATAGGGACAAATTTTCGATCAAAGAGATAAAGTCTAAAATGTTTAACTGCCCATACGATGGCCAGTGATTCTCTCTTTATGGTAGAGTATTTAGTTTCGGCATTGCACAGCGTTCGAGAGGCATAGGCTATAGGGAGAACTTTTCCTATAGGGCCTTGTGACAAAACTGTACCGATGGCAAAAGCGCTTGCGTCGGTGGTTAATAGAAATGTGTCTTCGAAATTGTGATAGATCAGAAGCGAGTCAGAAACTAGTGCGTTTTTCAATTCGTTGAAACCGGTATGCATTCTGGATTAAAGTGAAATGGAACATCTTTCTGGAGGAGTTTTGTTAAGGGCTTTGATGTTTTAGCAAAACTGGGGATAAATCGACGATAATATCCTAGGAAGAATTTAATTTTTTTTGGATTTTTGGGTGTAGGGAAGTTCTGAATACAACTAATTTTTCTAGGGTTCGGTTTTACACCGTCTTGAGTAATGAGGTGTAACATTTGTCCGGCTGGATTTTCAGGTTAGCTTTACGGGGGCGTTCAAACACTTCGGTTAGCCTTGAAATATGTTCGTGAATAGTAGGAGAGTATAATATTAATACTATTAATAATATCGTCCATGTAGACTAAGCATCTTTCATTTTGAATGCCGAGGAGAATATTCTCCATGAGTCTTTGGAATGTGAACGGGGTATTTTTCAATCCAAATGGCATACGTACGAATTTGTAATGGCCATTTTCTATGGAAAAAGCGGTTTTCGACACATCCTTGGGGTTTACTTCTATTTGGTGAAAACCTGAGACTAGGTCAAGGGTGGTAAAATATTGACATTTTCCCAATTGATCCAGAAAATCGGAAATACTAGGCAGCGGGTATTTGTCGTCTACAGTAGGTTCGTTGACTTTACGATAGTCGATTACGACGTGCCATTTGGGTTTGCCAGAAGCATCGAGTTTCTTAGGAACGACCCAGGTAGGAGAAGACCATGGGGATACAAAATGGCGAATTATGCCTTGGTCTAGCATTTTGGTAACTTGGGATTTGACATCTTCTTTGTGGATTTGGGGGTACCTGTAAGATTTGGTATACACAGACTTTGCATTATTGGTGTCATAGAAATTTTGATTTGGGTATTGAGTGAAGTTTAAATGACTAGAAGTTTGTTGTCTACATTGATTGGCTGTGTGGCCAATTTTTCCGCAAGAAGAGCACTTTATGGATGGTTTGTTGATTAAAACTTTTGGAACAGGAGGTTTTGGAGTCTTCTGATTCTCAAAATAGGAAAGTTGAATTTCTCTCCTGATTCTACTTTGAGCATCTAAAAAAGAGTGTGGGTTTCCAGCTCTGATAATCTGGTCAAGGCAAGGTTCTAGACCTGTAAGAAGTGTGTTTAGGGCCATAGGTTCCACAAGGGAGGACTATGCTTCTTACTGATCTACTATTTTAAGGCGTGGTGCTATCGATTAACGAATTTGATACGTCGTCAAAGTTTTACATGGGCCAAAGTCTATAAAAGTATGATGTGGTTACAGCACATCTAAACCCCTGATTATTCTTAACGGCTGTCAAAATTAGAGCAAAAGTACCGGCACTAAAACGCTTATTTTGGACCCTCGTGGAGCTGAATTTGAAGTTGAGAGACATAAAAACTTTATTCCAGGCTCTCCCAGAGTTGAACTATTCTAGAGTTACAACTGACATAGAGCGATATAAGAACCTTATTTTGCACCTTCATAGAGCTAAATTTAACTGAGAAGAATAAAAATCTTATTCCAAGCTCTCTAGAAAGGATTAACCTGTATTTGCTGACAATCTTAAAGTTAACCATTCTGATTTTGAACGTTAATTTTTTATTCCCGTGGAGCTGAATGAGAAGTAGAGAGACATGAAAATTTTATTCCCTGCTCTCCTAGAGTTGAAATTGAGCTGGAGAAGCAATTTTCACCTATTCTAGAGTTACAACTGACATAGAGCGATATAAGAACCTCATTTTGCACCTTAATAGAGCTAAATTCAACTCAGTAGAATAAAAACCTTATTCCAGGCTCTCCAAAAAGGAGTGAACTCTATATGCTGACTGTTCTAGAGTTAAAGTTCAACCATAGTACTTAGTTTTTGACTCTCGTCTTTGTATTTTCAATTTCAATAAGTCAAATAAGGCTCAAAGCTTTCTAATAGGACATCAATTTCACTGTATATTTCGATAACCAAATATGCTGACAGCCAAAATAGGACAAAAAATGGACCATCAATCTAGATTTTAAGTGGCACTTTTATTTTTAAATGCTTCAATGGAAAATGTTAGAATTTTTTTCCCATAAAACATTTTAATAGTCAGGACATTCTGGAAACAGAATTTATTAAATTTATTTTTCTTGGAAATATCGTGGGATTTATTTTGTTGGGTCAAGCTGATAGCTTTTTTTTCTATAGCTTCATTCTATTCAAATTAAGGCCATTTTCACATAATCCCCCTAGCACCAGACTTTCGATATAGACGAGCTTAAACAAAAAGGCTCATTATGAAACCTAATTTTTTCATGCTTTGATGTGTTCATTAATAATATGTCAACCACAAAAGGGTTTCAGCTTTAATCCAAAAACGTATTAAACTCAAATTTGTTTTTCCAGGCGGAGGCAAAAAAGCAACCCGAATAACAGTAGCTACGGCCGTAGGAATCTGGATCCTAGCAATTCTATGCGCAATACCTGCTCTGCTAGGCTCTCACATAAAAGAAATACGAGACGACGAAGGTACCTTGTGCTTGGAAGTTTGCTATCCCTTTCCAGAAGACTGGCTTAAAGGTACTTATCCGCAACTGATGGTGATGTCCAAATTTTTGGTGCTCTACATTATTCCTTTGATTATTATTTTTGGATTCTATCTCAGCATGGCTATTTCGCTGATAATGAGCACTAGGAATGTTCCTGGAGAATTGCAAGGAATGCATAGACAGGTGAATATTTTCAAATTAAAAACGTGATTTTATGTTAAAGTCTAAATATTATTCAGTAACAATTTTCTGGATAGCAAATCCTATTTGAATTTTAATTAAAATGTTGTTATTGCTCTATTATTTATTTTGGCAATGAATCTATAATACAAAGTAAACAAGGCTCGATTTCTTCGATAATTGAAAATTATTGTTTATAAAAACATGATACATCTTGCAAAAAAAAAATCTTTAAAAAGTGTTTACAAATTATGTCAGACGATGAGTAAGTAAAACATCATTATCATATTTTGCATTGCAAAATTTATGTGTAGGGCCAATATTTTTGCTCTCGGTTATTCAATTTGATGTTAAATCGATCAAGGCATTGAGGATCGTAATTAAGTCAAATTTGATAACCAGGCTATAACGTATATTATTTCCTAATTGCTGGGTTTCCATTGAATGTCCAAAATCTAACAAAAAAAAATTACGTATACCTAATATGAAGTTTCGTTTCAGATAAAAGCAAGAAAGAAAGTAGCAGTGACAGTCCTAATTTTCGTAGCAGTGTTTGCAGTATGTTTCGCCCCCTTGCACGCCTTCATGCTATTTTTCTACTTCAACGAAAACGCCCAGGAACTCTACAATCCTTTCTGGCACTATCTCAGAATAGTAGGATTTTGTTTGTGCTACATGAACTCCTGCGCAAATCCGGTAGCCTTGTATTTTGTTAGTGGAGCTTTCAGGAAGCATTTTAATAGGTGAGTAGTTAAAAAACCTGTGTAGCCGTTACGATTTTATGTGCATCGTAAACGTGAAACTATAACAAATTTGAGCCTGAAATATGGAGCTCGTCAAAATCGTAAAATCCTATTTATAAAGCAAGTTCAAGAGTAATTTCAAATACATCGTTGGTACAATTTGTCCGAGCTCGTTACGTTTACGATTCGTTGATCCTGACTCTTCAATTTCGGAGCAAGCTGGTTAATTTACAATTTCATGTGTGTCTTTTATTTTTACACTCAAAGAAACTGGGGTCTAGAGAAATTTCGATTTTATGTTGGAAAAATTGGGTTCTGAAATTTGGAATCTTATCAAATTCCCATTCGGGGACCAGTTTTTATTACGGTTCAATGAGAACTAAATTCTCAAAATATAATTTAGAAAGCTATTTCTGGTTCGAACTGATCCAAAATAAGTCGTTTTTCTTGTGACTTATTCTTTCAGGTGTATGTGAAGATTAACTTGTACATTGATCTGAATCAACTTTATCTTTTTATGTAGATTGACGTCAGATCCATGATGAGTTAAGTCCGGTTCACACTTTGATTAGTAGCAAGTGCAGATGTGAAGTGCTAATGTTTAGTTGTCAAATTGTACACGGATCTGTCAAGTGATAAGTGCAAACTACAAGTGCAAGTAACTCAAATCATGTTCTATTTTTCTGTTTCGTAACACTCAATATTTGACACTAAACAGTTTCAATTAACAAAATGTAAACCTGCCTTAAGTGCACTTGGATTGTGTCAACCGGCCAACAATATTTTTATAACAGGGCTGGGACTCTGTAACTCTATCTCTATTGACGTCCCCTCTCTATTTATTTCCCAAAGAGAGAAGAAGATGGCAATAACGATCTACTCTATCCGTTACAAAGTCCCAGTCCAATAGTCGCTCGATGAAGCTTTTCTGTTCCAGTTGGGTTTAAAATTGAGTTTTTGATGAGTCCTGGCTCTTGATTGACTTTAATTTTGGAACATTCCCGGCTCTTGATTGGCTTAGAAATTACATTTTTCAAACTTCTAGGCTCTTGATTCAGAAATTGAATTTTTTGATTATTTTCGGCTCCTGATTGGCTTCAATTTTTGAATTTTCTCGGCTCTTAATTGGGTTCAATATTAAATTTTTGATCATTCCCGGCTCTTGATTGGCTTAGAAATTGAATTTTTCAAATTTCCCGGTTTTTGAAATATTCAGAAATTGAATTTTTGATTATTTTCGGCTCTTGATTGGCTTAAATTTTTGAATTTTCCCGGCTCTTGATTGCTTTAAAAATTCAATTTTTCAAATTTTCTGGCTCTTGATTAATTTAAAAATTGAATTTTTGATTATTCTCGGCTCTTGATTGGCTTTAAGTTTTGAATTTTCTCGGCTCTTGATTGCTTTGAAAATTCAATTTTTCAAATTTTCTGGCTCTTGATTAATTTAAAAATTGAATTTTTGATTATTCTCGGCTCTTGATTGGCTTTAATTTTTGAATTTTCTCGGCTCTTGATTGCTTTGAAAATTCAATTTTTCAAATTTTCTGGCTCTTGATTAATTTAAAAATTGAATTTTTGATTATTCTCGGCTCTTGATTGGCTTTAATTTTTGAATTTTCCTGGCTCTTGATTGCTTTAAAAATTCAATTTTTCAAATTTTCTGGCTCTTGATCAATTTAAAAATTGAATTTTTAATTATTTTCGGCTCTTGATTGGCTTTAATTTTTGAATTTTCCCGGCTCTTGATTGCTTTAGAAATTCAATTTTTCAAATTTTCTGGCTCTTGATTAATTTAGAAATTGAATTTTTGATTATTCACAGCTCTTGATTGGCTTCAAGTTTTGAATTTTCCCGGGTCTTGATTGGGTTTAAAATTGAATTTTTGATTACTCCTGGCTTTTAATTGAATTCAATTTCGATCATTCTCGGCTCTTGATTGGCTTAGAAATTGAATTTTTTGATCATCCTCGGTTCCTGATTGGCTTCCATTTTTGAATTTTCTCGGCTTCTGATTGGGTTTAAAATTGAATTTGTGATCATTCCCTGCTCTTGATTGGCTTAGAAATTGAATTTTTCAAACTTCCAGGCTCATGATTAATTCATAAATTGAATTTTTTGATTATTCTCGGCTCTTCATTGGCTTCAATTTTTGAATTTTCCCGGCTCTTGATTGGGTTTACAATTGAATTTTTGATCATTCCCTGTTCTTGATTGGCTTAGAAGTTGAATTTTTGAATTTTCCCAAATCTTGATTGGTTCAGAAATTGAATTTTTGATTATTCCTGGCTCTTAATTGAGTTCAATTTTGATCATTCCCGGCTCTTGATTGGCTTAGAAAATCAATTTTTCAAACTCCCAGGCTCTTGATTAATTCAGAAATTGAATTTTTTGATTATTCTCGACTCTTGATTGGCTTCAATTTTTGAATTTTATTGACTCTTGTTTGGGTTTAAAATTGAATTTTTGATCATTCCCTGTTCTTGATTAGCTTAGAAATTGAATTATTGAATTTCCCCGGATCTTGATTGGTTCAGAAATTGAATTTTTGATTATTCCTGGCTCTTAATTGGGTTCAATTTTGATCATTCCCGGCTCTTGATTAACTTAAGAAAATAAATTTTTCAAACTTCCAGGCTCTTGATTAATTCAGAAATTGAATTGGCTTCAATTTTTGAATTTTCCCGGCTCTTGATTGGGTTTAAAATTGAATTTTTGATTATTTCCTGTTCTTGATTGGCTTAGAAATTGAATTTTTGAATTTTCTCGGATCTTGATTGGTTCAGAAATTGAATTTTTGATTATTCTGGCATTTGATTGACTTCTAATTTTGAGTTTTCCCGGCTCTTGATTGGGTTTATAATAATTGAATTTTTGATCATTGCCAGCTCTTGATTGGCTAAGAAATTGAATTCTTTAATTTTCTTGGCTGTTGATTAAAATTCAAATTTTGAATTTTCTTGGCTCTTGATTGGGTTTAAATATTCAATGTTTGAAGTTTCCCGGCCATTGATTGGCTTACAAACTCAATTTTTGAATTTCCCCCGGGTTTAAAAATGAATTTTAAAGTCAATCAAGAACTGGGAATATTCAAAAATTAAATTTTGAAACGTCAAATTAAGCCAATCAAGAGCTTAGAATATTTGAAAATTGACATTTAGAGCCAATCGAGACCTGAGAATTTCCAAAAATTGAATTTTTAGGCCAATCAAAAACCGAGATAATCTAAAAAATTGAATTTTAAAATTATTCAATAACCGGAAATATTCGAACATTGAATTTGAGCCAATCAAGAGCCAGGAATATTTGAAAATTGAGTTTTAAAGCAAATCAAGAGCCGGGAATTGACCGATACTGAATTTTTAAGCTAATCAAAAACCAGAAAAATTAAAAAATTGAATTTTTAAGTCAATTAAGAATCGAAAATATTCAAACATTGAATTTTGAAACGTGAAATCAAGCCAATCAGGAACCGGGAATATTTGAAAATTGAATTTTAAAGCAAATCAAGAGACTGGAATAGTAAAGTAAAGTAAAGTTAAGTTTATTTCATGCCCATAATAATAAATTTTCACAATCGTCATAATAAAAATTGATAATTATCTATAAAAGTCAGGTCAACACACTATAAAAAATCCACACTTAACAAGACTGTGAGGTTACAATACACAGAATAATAAAAGCACTGCAACAAACACATAAAATGTTAAAATAAATAATACAGTATAATAACACCGAGAATAACACTAAAAGAAACAGACCGCAACATCACAAACATAAGTTGGAGACTTTATTGTTCAGGATCTACTTGCAAAAATTCACTAAAGCTATAAAATACTCCCCTACACAGTATATCTTTAACAGTTTTCACAAAAAGTTTTTCTAGTAGGGCTTTTATGTCAGGTGGCAATTTGTTAAAAAAGGCTGGGGCATGGTACAGTGTTGATATTTTAGATCTGTTAGTCTAAGAAAGAGAACGTGCAAGTTGCTAGCCTGCCTTGTGTTATGGACATGTACAGTTCGTAAATTGAATTTTAAAGCAAATCAACAAATATTGAATTGAAATCTATGAAAAAAGGCCTTCAGAGAAATTGAAAAATTGATAATTTAGCCCAAATTGCTTAACGCGATTTTATTTCAGAAATTAAAAGTCAAAATTAGCAGGGATTGTAATCCTTTACTTGAATACAAATTGCTGAAAATTTCAGTTTTCCATCTCCAATAGAAAAAAAGTTATGTTTTTTCAAAGTTTTCAGAAATCTAAATCATATGGTAGCTACAGGTAGATAGCTACGTTGGTACTAAATTGATAAAATTTAAATTTTTTTATGTCGAGATTTTGTGTCCAAATAATTATTGGGGACCCTCCAAATTTCATACACTAAATTATTCTGAGATTTGAAGTCGAAATCCATGAAAAAACGCACTCAGAAAAATTGAAAAATTGATAAATTTACCCCAAAAAGACATTTATCTTGATTCGATATCGTGTTAAAAGCCATTTTCAAAAATTTGATTACACTAAATTTGTCAAGACGTCTCTTATACATAATATACAAAATCGTCCTGCTATAGAATTTCAATTTTGTCTAGAGCCTTTAAGGCGTTTTGTTCTTGACAGTAAAAAATATCGAAGCCGTTGGGCCGACGCGTTTAAAGCCGATTATCGACGAACAAAGGATTTATTGTTTGAAAAATGAAACCTAAATTTTCTGCAAGAGTTTCAACGATAATTTGAGGGCCTCTGGAACTACAGACACACTTTATAATAAACTCTCCAGTGCATTACGAAACTTTTGCCCACTTCAAAAGTTGAAATAATTAATGATAATTTGTTGCTGAAAACTTTTTCTAGTGCTGGTTTGGAATTTTTACAGTGGTAATTTATGGCCATGTTAATTAGAGTTTTGCAATGTGAAGTACAAATAATGATAAAGTTATATCAACAATAAAGTTTCAGTAATGTAAGGGTATTTTTCACAAGAGAAGCTCAACATTATTCATGTAAGTGTCATAAAAAAGGAAGTTAACTGCACAATTTCGGGCAAATGTACATACCAGCCCTAAAACGATTTTGTAGGGCTGAGTTTTTATGGAATCATATATTTTGTTATCGATAAAACGGTTTTTAGATGAGATGACAAAAAAAAAATGTTCCAGAAATGATCTATAATGAATCATTACAGATAACTTGATGTCTTAAATGTATATCGTATACTTACAAATGATACATGAATATGAGCAAAATATAAACAAATATTATTTTATAAATCAGGACAGTTGTGTTTGAGTTCCCAAATATTCCTCTGAATTAAAAATATCTAACTTGACTAGATACCAATTATTAGGCTTCGTGATATTTTGCATCTATAATATTCCAATTCCATTGTTGCGCGGAATTTGAATATTGGATAACGAGCTTTATCTCTTTGTTCTCGTACAGATTAGCCGATTAAAATTTCCTGTATGCATTCGGAAAATTAAACACCTGATGTGCTATAATAATACACATTAATTATTTCTATTTCCAGTTAGATTTGAGGAAATTCTATTCGCGTGTGAAAAGTTACTTTGTTGTTTGCTTGAAGACTTAATAAAATAAAATGTTTGTTTTCAGATATCTTCTATGTAAAAAACCACTCCGTAATCGAGGCAGTACTTACCAGCAAGCGACCTCAATGTCACTGTTGTCGACCAAAAGATACCAGTCGATCAACCGTAAGCCGACCATATCGTTAACCAGAAGGAACACCACGACCAATCCGCACGAAACTTCTGTCACTTTATTGGGCAACGGGCATGGCGATCCGAACCCTAATAACAAAATACTTTGAGAAAGGTTGCGAAAGAGTCGAGACACTCTTTTGCAAACCGACGTTTTTTAAACTGCTGGATGTAAGAAGGAATTCTGTATTCTGTTTTTGAGGAATTGGAATATGATTCAAGACTCCTCTACAAATAACAACATCTGACCTAGATTTCGCTTGTTCACATGCAATTCAATGTACATATAAAATGTATATAAGAGTATATAACACAACAATGTTATACAGGGAAACAGTACACTTAAAAAAAATTGGTGTATAAATGTAATTTGTAAATATAAAACTTGTGATTTTCGTCTATAATTTGAATTGTTCCATCCACAAAAAAAAATATACATTATGAAAAAAGTTATCTATGATATTGAGAATTTAATGAAAAACTATTTTCTTTAGTGGAAATTAATAAATTTCTTCCGGAATTTTCTATGGTGGAAACAGTATTCCATAGATTTTGGTATAAATGAAAAGGATTGACTATTATTTGTTTCTAAATTCCGATGAGTTTTTGCCATATGAACTGTCAATCCCGTTTAGTTTTCAAATTCTTTTAAACAAATTTTACACTTTGTCAAAATATTGCAAATTCTAAAGTTTGATATTTCATTTAAAAGAGTGTTCATTGTCTTGATTTCCAGAAAATAGAAGATTAATGGTTTTAGGATATTCGTCATGTAAAATATCTAAAGCAATGAAAAGTTTCATCATGTATATTTTTTTGTCAAAATACAAAACATCGAAATTGTATAAATCGATTTATATTTTACAATAATTAATCCCCCAAAACAGTATTATTTTGTTTAATATATTAAATTGTACTTAGTATTTAAATGTAATATTTTAAAAATAAATATAAAAACTTCCTAATGTAGTTTCTTTTAAATGGAAAATCCTCTCTTCTGATTATATAGTAATTAAGAATTCCCTTTTAGGAACTCATTATAAGTAAATTTCCAAAAAAAAAACAAATAAATTAAGGATTAAACCAGCCAGCCTTCCGGTATATATTTGAATATAAATTGCACAAAAGTGATACAATTAATTAGAATAAATATTTTCCAAGCCGACATGTCAATTCCAGCACACTACTCAGGGTAAAAGCTGAAAATTTTCTCCACCAGACAACCTCTCTTTATAATTATGTTTGAGAAGTGTTTCCTGAATAAACTTTATTCAAGTCATCAATTATTGTGTTTGCCCATACATTGAGTATCAATGGGATTATGTAGGTTGTAATTATTATATTTAAGTTTGATGATTTTGGAATTGAGATAAATCAAATGTTACGTAAGAAGGTTGATGAATAAATCTCTAACTAAACAAACACAATCGTTGATTCCGTTTTATAGAACGTCGTTGTTTCTAGAATTGTCTAGATAATTCGTTTTTGTTCGTTTGTTGTTAGACAGTGTTGCAAGATTTATAACAATAAGTAAAAATAAATACAGGCACGACTCTGGGTTGATGCAAAATTAATTTAAGTCATACCAGGAAGAATAAAATTTAAATTTTATGCTCAGTTTTTATTGTCTGCGATAAAGTTGGCGCCAAGGGAAATGATTTTTTCAATTTGATGATGAATAAATTAAAACCTTCTTTGTTGGAATTTAATTGGAATAAGTTACAATAAAATTGGTCAAACTTGAAAAACTGTTGAAGATACTTGAATATTGAAATTATTTAGATTACATTGGCATCAAAAATTGATAGTCAAAACACCTTTCAACCTGGACAGGGGTTAAATTAAAAACTTGATTTGCATATTTCAAATAGAGCACGTAGATTTTTAATAACCTTTTTGTGTTTATTTAATGCCTCTATTTTTTTTGATTAGCTTCCCTCTAATTTGAATTTCAAATTGTTGCATATTAATTTAATATTCAATCTAAAAAAATAATAATTTCAAAGCTTCTTCAGTTGAATTCAAGCTCTGCAAGGTTCAAAAATGCCGCACTGATTTAATTTGAAGTCAAGAGGAAGATTACAAATTATAGGATTTAAAACAAGAAAAATTATAATATTGTATTATTTTGTTTAATGAAAATATTGAACAGTCATATAATATCACTTGCAAAATAGAGTCGAGATTTGTGTTAAAATAAATGGAAAACTTAGCTATATCAGTGACATTTATAAATGGCCCAATGTTCCGCTTGGGAGGATGTTGACAATGTGAAACGAAAAAAAAGCTATTATACAAGGGCACACATATCCGGCCTCTAGTATAACATAGAAATGTTTTTTGTTTATATTTCATTTTTGTTTCACTCAACTAGAATTATACATTTTGGAAATGATCTCATATTAACTATAAGGACACAAAGTTGTACTATAAGGACAAATTATAGTTGAAGTCTTTATTACTTTTTTCATGTGTCCATTATTGAGAGACAATTGAGAATTCTAAATTCGTAAGGTTTTATTGACGAAGAGGGTCGTTAAATGACCCCGTAAAGATAAAAAAAAATAGAAGAAAGAAAATTCGGCTCCCAAGTTTTATGGCCCTCAAATGTGGTTTTATAACGGTTTTATTGGACTACTTTTGTTGCTTATATATCCCTGAAATAAGAATTTTGCCATAAGGATATTCAACAAAAGTTTAACAGTATGACAAATTCCATATTATGAAACCGAAATTTGTAACAAAAAGAACGTTATGAAAACTAAAAAGTTCCCTATTTTTATTCGATTGGTCGGTATGTCAAGAACATGCACTTTTTTGGGTATCTTAGAATCAACGCTAAAACTCTGATTTCTGATCATTTTTAGAGATAAACATCAGCCAGAGCGGCTAAAGAGGTACTACTTAAGCCAAAATTGTACTAAAGAAATATGAAGTTCTGATTTCTGACCAGTCTAAGAGTTAGAGTTCTTTTTAGAAAATTGTTGGCTTGTAATTATCATCAAAAATCAAAATTGCTACTTTCCTTTCACAAATAAGTGCAGTAAAGTGCACTTTACCGCACGCTCAAAGGTAAAAACCGTTCAAATACATACGGAGAAAAAAAGTTCTTAACTCAATATTAGTTGCCATCTATGCCTTGAACGATTGCCACACCAAAATACACAAAGCATGAATTCTTTTGATAATGTCCAGAGCTCTATTCTTTAGAAGTTCTAATTTTATTGGTTCAACGCACAACTTCTAGATGGCGCCCTAAAGCAGGGTTCAATGTACATAGGAGGAGCATTGATTCAAGCTTGAATATTGACTTTTGAAAATCCTTCCTGCTAGATGGCACTATAGTCATTTGAAAGGTTTTAAATTTTGATACCAATCAATTGGGGAAGATTGAAATAGAGCGCGCCACTGGTTTGGATAGTAGGATAGGAAAGGACCCCGCAATATTTAAATGGAAATTGGTTACCCGTGAAATTTGAATATGTTATTGGGGATGCCGCAAGCAACATTTTTTACCAGGGGCACAACCCTGTATATATGACTGGTGAGGCGTGGTTAGCTGTCAAATATTGGAATCTTATATCCGAAAGCAGAGTAACTATGGCAGATTTTGATGAACAAAAGATTTATTTCTACTAAGTTGACCAACATAAGTCGAAAAATGTCAACGATTTTGACACCTGTCAAAACCCTGCTAAACAGCAGCACTCATCTTTTCCCGTTTTCAATATTTTATGATGTCATTTGACATTTTAAACTTGTATGTGAATTCTGAATTCAAAAATTGGAAAAAAAAAATGACAGAACTGTCAAAACCTGTCATTTATTTTAGTAGAAAAAAATACTCTAATCTAGTTTTTTTTGTTTCAAGGTTGTTTATTAGTGATAAAACATTAAACAAAGTTCATGCATGTCACATTTTGACTCTGACAGTTGTCAAAATGTGACATACCCAAACTTTGTTTAATATTTCATCACCAATAAACTACCTTGAAACAAAAAAGAATCAAATTAAAGTATTTTTTTCTTCTAAAACAAATGACAGGTTTTGACAGTTCTGTCTTTTTTTTTTTCAATTTTTGAAGTCAGAATTTACATACAAGTTAAAAATGTCAAATGACGTCATGAAATATTGAAAAATGGAAAAGATGAGTGCTGCAATTTGGCAGGGTTTTGACAGGTGTCAAAATGGTTGACATTTTTCAACTTGTCTTGGTCGACTTAGTAGAAATAAATTTTTAGTTCATCAAAATCTGCCATAGTGACTCTGCTTTTGGATATAAGATTCCAATATTTGACAGCTAACCACGCTTCACCTGTCATATATACAGGGTTGTGCCCATGGTAAAAAATGTTGCTTATGGCATCCCCAATAACATATTTAAATTTCATTCAAATATCACGGGTAACCAATTTCCATTTAAATATTGCGGGGTCCTTTACTTTGATCTGATCCAAAATTTTCTTTTAAAAAGTTCCGATCAGATCAACTTATGAGCTACTGTTTAAAGCTTTACTCATAGAGCCAATATTGTTCATATAATTTTTCTATTTAATTCATTTTTTTTTTCTTCTTAGTGCGACTTGATCAATCGTTTGTTAAGTACCTACTAGTTAGTTAACCACAACCTTAGATTGTGTCAATCTCCAATATGAATGTTTTTATGTGACACATTCTAAGGTTTTCATTAACTAACAGGAGTTTCAGAAACGATCGATCTAGCCGCACTTAGGACCAGTTTATCAGTTGACAGTTAGTTCAGCAATCGGTTAACATTATTGTCGGTTAACCGACAACTAAACTGGATAATCGTCCACTGATAAACGGGTCCTTAGAGCAGCAATATCAATAACCCCCTATTTATAGTAGGGCTCGGAATTGTATTCGAATAATTCGAGACTATTCGAGTATTTGACTATTCGAATATTCGACTATTCGAATATTCGATTATTTGAATATTCGACTATTCGATTATTCGAGTATGTATTTGAATATTGGACTATTTAACAATGCAATTACTCCCCCCTTTTTATTACAAATTTGAATAAAATAATGTTTAGATTTTCAATAGTCACCTAAACGACTATTCCGGTAAGGTACCGGTATTTAATTAAAAATAGACCACTACTAACAGTACGACAAAGTACAAACTAACTAATATAAATGATTATCAGAATATTTGACCATTGGAATATTAGACTATTCGAATATTCGACTTTTTGACTACATATTCGAACATTCGACTATTCGTATATTTGACTATTCGAATATTCGACTATTCGAAAATTCGACTATTCGAATAGGTATTCGAATATTCGATTATTCGAATTATTCAACTATTCGAATAAAATACCAAACGACTATTCGAATACTTGAATTTTAGAAATTCCGAGCCCTAATTTATAGGTCTGTTCGAACAGAAAACACCAACCAGTCAGAGTGAATTTCACTGGTTGAAAGTAGTCTTCTCTGATTGTTTCCAACCAATAAAATCCGCGCTGACTGGTTTGTAACTGCTGTGCGAACAGACCTTCTTGTACGTGAATTTTCCAACTTTTTCTGAGCTTCAAATTGACTTCAAATTCACCATGTTTAATAAAAGAATCCTGGTTAATGAATCCTAAAAGTTTCAAGTTATTTAGGCATCTATCTTTTTCGAAGTTCAAATATCCAAACTCCTGGGCGTTATCGTGAACATAGGATGGAGCCATAGTAATTTGAAAAGTGCCAAAATTCAGGTTTCTCAAAAAGGCCAAAGTAAGATTAGGAAAATCAGCAATTTCCTCATATTCCATTACTTGCCAGTTAGCATGGCGTCTGAATGAGCCTTCATTTCCTATCCTTTGCTGTAAGTGGTTTGGCTGTCGAACTCTTGCTAG